TTAATCAACTGTATTAAATGTCTATCTTACTGCCAAAATTTTCATCTCTGCAGCTTGCAATGACTGATAAGAAGCAACCCTGTGATTGGTCAAGATGTTTCTCTCTGTGCTCTGCTTGTAATAAATTGTACAGCTTTTCCCAGCGGAGGTCAGAACTTTCTGCTGAGACCTGTCTTTTCAAGCGTCCTCAGAAACTTCTCACTCTTTGCAAAGAGAAAACTGTTTTAAAACTGAATGCTTACGTCTCTGTCTGGTTTATTTCTTTTTAAGGGGTAATTTAATGTCCACTCTGACATTTTGGTGCCGTGTGACCCAGATCCCAGGGCGGCTTTCCCGCTGACATCTGGAAACTCCAGGTGTGTCGACTGAGTGCACCACTAACCAAAGACCCGTAGGGCTGGCGTTTCCTATTGGCCGACAACGTGGGGTTCCAACACCTGTCAGCGGTGCGGCGCCTGGGACCGAACCTGTTACACCAACCAGGCAAGACATAAGTATGAAAAGTTTTTTTCTTTCCTTTTTCTGAAAAGTAAATCGTGAGGCAGGACGGTGTTTTTCTGCTGACGTTAGTGATCAGCGGCGTTCTGTTCACTAGGGTGTGGCTGCCCGGCAAATTATCGGTGTATAATTGCTTGAAAGAGCTATAAGATATAACATAGGTTTAAAATCCTACATGCTTCGCAGTGTCAAGCGTTTAAAAAAATAAAAACAACTAGAAACTAGAAACAGCTTTTTTCTGAGTTTCAAAGGGTATCCTCAGGTCGGCGTTACCTGAAAAAACAGAGATCTCAAAGGTGTGTGTGTGTGAATGCATGTGTTTGATTGAAGAGACCTGAGTTGGGTCGGCATTCTGGAAACCGAACGGTGCCAACAAAAGGAATGCTATAATTCAACTCAGATAATCTCTTATTAGGCTATAAAGTGCTAAAACCAGCGTAGGTAAAAACTCTATTCTTCCCAGCTTTAGGCTTAAGTGGAAGATCGGAGTAGTCCAAAGGTACTGCTCTAGAAGTCAGTCTTCTAGACGAAGAATGGAGGTCTTTTAGACAACCTTTGCTGGAAATAAGCACGCACATATTAATAAATCACAACGCAGTAACTTTGTATTCAAATTAAATAACATTCATTAACTAAAATAATAAAACCACATCCAGTAACTCGTGTTGGCAACTGCATCAATTGTCTAGTGGTCAGTGGTCAGCACTGCTGCTGCACTGGTCCGGATTCAACTCCCGGTAAATGTACTCTTTTATTTTTTCATGGTAAAAACCCCCAAAATTAATCAATTCAAGATTTTAATATACTACTAACTTTCTGAAAGTCTCATGTAGCAGTAACCTGAAGAAAGTTTTACCTCAAGACTGTAGCCAACCCATTCTTGTCCCATGTCTACAAGAGAACAATGACTCATTCATTTACCTCCAAGCTTGTTTACTATCTACAAGTGGCAAGATAGCAAACAGATGTGACCACCTCCTGTTGATTGAGTACTGTGTAAGAACCCCTTTGATGTGCTCGAAATGGCCACTTATCACACAGAACTCAAGATCTGTGCAGACATGGTGTCTAGCAGGAGTGGGTCTGCTGCAGTGAAACCCTCTTTGAAGCCGGATTTCTTGCTGAGTTTTGTCACATACACCAGCATCAAAGAAACCATTTACATACCATCTCATTTATGGTTTAGAGCGCYCCCAAAAGACTGGGTTCATAATTACACCACGAACAAATGTTTTTCTGTATTTCTCATTCTGATAAAAAAAGGAGAAAAGAATTATTGTATTTCCTATGTGATTCAATCATTTGAAACAATGTACTGTTTTAATCACTTCTATCTATTTCTGTGTGTTAAATCAATTTCAGTGGTAACAGACTGTGTAAGAAGGCAGGTCATGTGACTGTTTTCAGCCAATCACGAGTTCTTCAGAGTCAACAATAGAAACTAGTTTTAGCAGCAGTCA